GCTTTTGTTTTCCTCAAGAGCTAGTGAGAGGATGAAGGATTAAAAAGCTGCCTAATTTTGGTTACAATGGGCCACGGGGAAGAGAGAGGAAAAAAAAAACCTCCACTTTGGAAGAAATTGACGTGACTCAACGTTATTTAAGGGAACATAACCTCGATAAAAAGATTTAGAAAGGCTTTGTGGCCTCAGCAGGCCTTCATCTTGTCTCTGCCAGCATTTATCTATTTTTTTTTCTATTTTAGAGCATTCAGGAAAAGAGACTTGAATTGTTCTTAGCTTCTGGCTACAAGTGAAGAAAGCCACTCTAATCTCCTGCAGAGGAATATACTGTCCAGGCTGCTTTTTTTTTTTTCTCCTTAATTCAAGCCGGTCATTCAAGAGGCTCTGGTTGTAAAAACAAATGAAGAAGCAGAATGCAAATAGGCTAAAAAAAAATTAAAAATAAAACGCAGTTAAGATTCGAATCGGGTTGCAAAACCAACCTTGTTTAAAACCAAGGTCTGTTAGCTCCTCTTTGCAGAAAGCAGCCATTAAGTGCTGACTGAACTCTTATGGGTTTTTAGCAGGTGATGGCTTGGCTTTATAGATTAGCAGAGTTGGAAGGGACCTTGTAGGTCATCTAGTCCAACCCCCCCGCCGCCCAAGCAGGAGACCCTACACCATTTCTGACAGATGGCAATCCAGTCTCTTCTTGAAAGCCTCCAGGGATGAAGCTCCCACAACTGCTGAAGACGACTTCTGTTCCATCAGTGGATTGTTTTCACTGTCAGAAAATTTCTCCTTATTTCCAGGTTGAATCTCTCCTTGATCAGTTTCCATCCACTATTCCTTGTCCTGCCTTAAGATGCTTTGGAAAATAGCTTGACCCCACTCCTCCTCTCTGTGGCAGCCCCTCAAATATTGGATTCAGGGGATAAAACAAAAGCAAAGGGAAAGGCATAGTTAGAGTTTGGGACACCTTCTTCTTCTTCTTCTTCTTCTTCTTCTTCTTCTTCTTCTTCTTCTTCTTCTTCTTCTTCTTCTTCTTCTTCTTC